AGAAATCAATTTAGAGTGCCTATAGGAGATAAATGGAAGTGATAGGTTAGGTTGTGGTCGCACTGTCCCATGCATGCTGAACAGATGACAGAACGCACACTCCTAGTGTGCCTTTCCTGTTTTCTATCTTCTGTTTGGTTAAAAAGTAACCAGTTTATGACTAATAGAACACTGTGTTGTAACTCCACTGGAATTAGAAAGTATATTCCTCATAATTTGGTATAAAAGATGCAATACAGATTTGGGGGGAAAAAAGCGGTTTTATCTTATATACCGTTTCTTCTTTTGTTCCTTTTCCTGCCATCCTTTGTTTTTCATTGTTTTTACTGAATTTGTGATTTTGCTGTTTATCTAACATGGTGTCTTGCTCTATGGACCTTCTCCACAGTACTTAGTACAGCACCTAATATAGTTCAGTACAAATATAATATAGTTGGTACTGTATAGCATAGTACATTGTACACGCCGTATCAGTAATTAGTAATAGAGTATATAGTATAGTATGATATAGTTAGTATAATATAGTTGGTTGTGTTATTATTATCACCTAGGGGTGCCTGGGTGGCTTAGTCGGTTGAGCGTCCGACTCTTGGTTTTGGCTCAGGTCATGATCTCAGGGTCGTGAGATTGAGTCCTGTGTCTTGCTTACGCTCAGCACCAAGTCTGCTTGTCCCTCTTCCTCTGCTTCTGCCCTCCCCTCTGCTCCTGCCCTCCCCCCTGCATTGCATGTTCTCTCTAAAATAAATAAATAAAATCAACATGATCACTTAATATGGTGAAGAATTATGAATTAGTAAATATGTGTTAATTTATTCTTAGGTGAGATTTTTTTTTTAATTTCCACCAAATATTAACTTGTTTTTAAGTTAATACAGAGATTCCCTTAAGACCTAGACACCCTTTGCAATTGATGCTTTATTTTCAAGTTCTACTGATTAACTTCCTGGTGACTTGTCTATATCTTAGTTTTCATGAGAAATTTAGCTGCGGAATGAATTCTTTACATTTTCATTGCCTTCTTGAACTCTTTTCAGTAGTCAGCTAGGCTACTAGTAATTTTTATATTTGAAATGATGCCAGTGACAGCTTGAACCTGAGTTGAAAGTTTTTGGACTTCCGCCCCCGTGATCCTTGCGTGCTTACCCCAGGATGCGGAGTTGTACTTCACTGTGCTGCTAATATTCTCACCCAGGCCTTGAGTCAGTAGCCCCTTGGCTAAAATGTCTGACCAGCCTTGGGGCTGCCATGGCTGACTGTGGGAACCAGACCTGAAGGCCACCTGGCCCACAGGTGCTGTAGGCTCATGGTAACCCTGCTGAGACAGGTTAGGTTTGGAAAGACCCAACTGACTTATTTTTTAATTTTTAACATTTTCCCCAGCTTTTTATTTTGAAATTTTTCAGATTTCCAGAAAACTTGAATCTTCAATGAATACAAACACACACGCACATATATACCTTTCATATAGATTTGCCAATTGTTAAATATTTTGCCACATTTCCTTTCTCTGTATATATAAAACTTATTTTGAGTGAGCGTTGAAAATGCAGTATCATAACACGTAACCCCTATATGTATCAGCATTTACCTCTAAGTACATACATCCTTTATACCATTTTTCCACGATACCACTATTATATCTAATACAATTACAATAATTCTACAATGTCATATATTCTATAGTCTATATTTAAATTTCCTCAGTTTTCCCTAAAATGTCTTTATAACTAGCTAGTTTTGTAGAATCCAGACCACTTGTCTTATACAGTTGTCCACATTATGGCTTTCTACTTGCTTTCTTGTGATTAGATTTAGAATGTATAAAGGGTAATACTTATGTGATATTGTATACTTCCTGTTCCCTCACACCAGGAGGTACATAATGAGTTTGTCCCACTATTGATTGTACATCTGACCCCTTGGTGACCAGTAGACCTCTCTATTGTAAAAGTAATTTTTTCCCCTTGTAACTAAGTTATCTGTAGGGTGATTATTTGGGGTTCTATTCTATATTCTATTCCCTAGTAACCTTTCAGCCAATGACTTTGTCATCCACTGGTGCTCCTTGGCTGAAATTGGATTACTTTGGAACTTATAAAACAGTGATTTTCTACTTCTGCCATACCGTCTACTTTTATTAACTGGTATTGTTTCATAAAAAGGCCTTCCTTTTCTCCTCGCCCCGTCCTTCAGAACCCTGGAGAGAGAGAGTGAGTGAGTGAGTGAGTGTGTAGAGGCGCACTCTTTGACATGTATGTATTGAGTGTGTTACCAGGCATCATCATTGTTCTTTGATGTTCACATTGTCCCAAATGTGGCCAGTGGGAGCTGCTTGAAGCTGGCTTCTGTGTCCTTTTGAGCACTTCCTTGTTTCCTGACACAGGAAGGTATCTTAGGCTTATTTTGCACTTTTCCTGCTTTAGGCCTAGAATTAATCATTTCTCTAAGATACTCTGTTCCTTATACTAGGAAATTGTATTTAGAAACCAAGATTGGATACTAGGGGCCACTCATTGCTTTTAGAGTTTCATTGCATCTGTGCTCTTTCAGGGGACAGAACTAAAAAGTACTATCTTTTAAATATTATAGGAATAATCCAGGAAATAATATTTTTTAAAGATCACAAATATGTATTGATTTGTCTAATTCAAACTTAACATTACATTTCTTCTTTTATGTTTGTATCTCTTCTCCTACAGTCCAGGAAATAATATTTTTTAAAGATCACAAATATGTATTGATTTGTCTAATTCAAACTTAACATTACATTTCTTCTTTTATGTTTGTATCTCTTCTCCTACAGTAACATTTTGGTCACCATACAATTAATACATTTATTTACTTTATGCTATAATATACAGAGAATGTTTCAGAATTTTATTATTAATATTACTAACAATAAGCCTTCCAAGTAAAGTTGAAGATTTCTTTGCTATTCTTTTTTGTCATTAGAAATTAGGTTTATTTGTTTTTGTTTGCGATTTATTTGTTTTTGTTTGTATTAATCTTTAGAGTTTGTTTTTGAAAATTTTAGTCTTTAATATATAAAGCATATTCAGGCTTTGACTTTCAGCTGAATAAAGGCATACCTAGGGAAGCCTTACTCATCCCCTGGCCCTCACCCTGCTGCCGCCCACCCCTTAATAAATGATGATTTTTATTAGTTTCCACTGTACCCTTCCTTGTGGAAAGAAACCTATGTATATTTTCCCCTATTCCTATATGTATTTTCTTATTTCTTTTTCTTACACCAAAGGTCACACTCTGAGTACATTTACTTTGCGTCTTGCTTTTATCAATCTTTTTTTATGGCTAGAGTGCTTGATGGCATGGATGTGCCCTCATTTATGCAGCCAACCTTATAGGGGGGGTGTTTCTAATATTTTGTTGTTATAAATCAGTGAATCACCTGTGATGATGTTGGTTTTGCCTGTGGGGGTATAGCTTATATAAAGGAATTCGCCCTGTTTTCTTCTTGTACTTGTTTGATTTGATTTTCTGTGTTTAGCTTTCTGACCCATCTGCAGTTCATTCTCATGTACAGTGTCTGGTTTGCATCCACTTTTATCTTTTTCCTAATGGCAGTCAGTTGTCTCAACATGACTTACTAAAAAGTCCACCTTTTCTCCCTCAGAGAAGGAAAGGCAGAGGAGTCCCTGGTTTTAAAAAATGTTCACAAAATTAGCACTCGGATATGTGATCTAAGGGTTTCTTTAGTGTCCGTTTTATTGCCAAAAGGCCGAATGGGAGAATGAAGCTTGACCCAGAGATGGGCTCCCTAAGATAACTGAATTGATAAGCCCCAAGTTACAGGTCCCTAACTTTCAGGGGTGAAATCTGGTCTAGCGCATTTACTGTGTGGGTGGGCAGAGAGGTCCATCCTGAGAACAGCCTCTCTAAAAGAACAGCACTGGGTTTATGTGAGCTGCCAGTTCATTTAGAGTTCAGATACAGTGCTAATAAGATCCAAGGCCACAGACTTCTCTTCTGACACCATTCAAGAGAAATGAAAATGCATGTGGTTTGCTTTTAATTGTGAGGAGTGGTGTTCGAGAAGACGCTGTCATGGCTTACACAGTTGTCAAGTTGGTGGCAGTACTAGGAGGTGAGGGGCTTTTGGAAATGTGTGGGGGTGAGATTCGTCACAGGCGCTGGGGATTTTTTTTTTTTTTTTTTTTAAGATTTTATTTATTTGACAGAGAGAGACACAGCGAGAGAGGGAACACAAGCAGGGGGAGTGGGAGAGGGAGAAGCAGGCTTCCCGCCGAGCAGGGAGCCCAATGTGGGGCTCGATCCCAGGACCCTGGGATCATGACCTGAGCTGAAGGCAGATGCTTAACAACTGAGCCACCCAGGTGCCCCAGGCGCTGGGGATATTACTGGCATAGATGGTGGAGAAGGGCCAGGGGTGTTAAGTGACCTGCAGGACAGGGGAAGGGCAGGGCTGCCTACAACAGAGCTGTCACACTCAAAATGCCATGGCATCCCCATTGAGAAACAGACATTTAAGAGAACTTGGTTGGAAAAATGTAGTATAAAAACCTCTCAAAACTTCTAGGAAGAGTTCAAAGAGCATCAGAAACCTTGGGGCTATCGCAGTGCATGAGCCTTGGAGCCTCCTCTTTTCAGTATTCGGTCTTTGACATTTGCACTGCCAATGGGGAGTTCGAAGGGGTACTCTTGAGCACATTACCACAGAGTTTGTAGGAGCACCTCTCGTTTGCTTTTAAAAGAGAGATTTGTGGTATCACATTCATGTTTGAAACTGACACTTGAAGATTATTAATAACCAGTTTAATAGTACAAGTAATTTTTTCTTTGGGGGATGTGTATGTGGTAATTTTTTCTCCTGTTTAAAAGATTCTAAGATGAGATAATGTATATGAAACTCTTAGTTTGATATCTGGCATGTAGGAACTCAGGAACTATTAGTCATAACGTTAACTTATGTTTATAACAGTTGTTAATTAACCTTTGTTATATTTGTTATATGTTTTCAGAGAGCTGTTGCTTACCTTTTTCCAAGTGGTTTGTTTGAGAAGCAAGCCAGGCCAATAATGAAGGTAGTTCTCTTCATTAATATTTTTTAAAATTTCACTTAGGTTTATAATATGTTACAGTAATAATCTAATTCATTGTAATTTATTTTACAGCATCCTGAACAGATTTTTCCAAAACAAAGAGGTAAGTTTGCTCAAGAATGAATGAGCATTCTTCCTTTACCACAGTGTTATGTTACATATCAGCAGTCGCCCACATATGGTGGAGACCCACCCCTGTGTTGTGGCAGTTGTGAGGTCGGTCAGTGATATTTTATAACTAACAATAAATGACTGGAATTTATAGATTATTTCTTTTTAATTAAATAATATTATAATTAGATCAGGTTAGAGTTTATGCCTATTCTAATGTCACACTCATTTATTCACATTCTAATATGCTTTTTTGAGGAAGAGGTTGGTACAGATCTGCTAGAGACTAATTCAACTTTTTTTATTTGAAAATTTAAAATTTTTGTTCATTTCGGAAGCATATTTTCACTGAATATAGACCCCCCTTTTTTTGTCTTTCCTTTATTGATATGATTACATTGTCTTTTGTCTTGCATTGTTTCTGATAAGCAGTTAGCCATCATTCTTGCCTGGACCTCTGTTTTCTCTGGCTTCTTTTAAGATTTTCTCTTTATCTCTTAAATGTGTAAAATTCAGTTTTGAAGAAAACATATACAGGCTTTAAGTTTGCCGGGAAATAATATATTTACTATTTTCCAGTTTACATTAAAAGCCTATTAGCCAACGTGGACTGGTGGTAGTTATCAGTTAATTTAAAAAGTACTAAAGCTAGGGTGTTTCAGCGGGTCAAGCCTTGGACTCTTGATCTCAGCTCAGGTCTTGATCTCGAGGGTCATGAGTTCAAGCCCCACATTGGGCTCCATGCTGGGCATTGAGCCTACTTTTAAAAAAACCTTTTTTTTAAGTACTAAAACTAGAAATTACTTCTTAAAAACACTCAGTATAAATTTATATTTATTCATCAATCTTTTGCTACAACCCTAGAGGGTTTTTTCTTTAAGCAGATATCTGTTTCTCCCTGTTTCTTTTGCATAACCCTGCTGTCACTGACACATCATCAAAGTTTTTTAGTTTTGGTTTCCTCATAGTGGAGCAAAGAACTTAAACTTTCTAAGAAATCTGAGTGTAGAATATTTCTATATTTCTACAGATTTTTCCTCTAACCACACTGAAGTGGAGTAAACTTTTTTTTTTTTTAGTAACTTGCCTTTCAGTTTTTCTAAAGCATTCAACTTAGTTTTCACAGCAGCGAAAACTCTTTTCTGTTTCCACTCATATTTCATCTGTTTATGTAATACTTAATTCATGTAATTACAGAAATAAATATAATTGTAGTAAACAGGTTTGGGAATGGACACAGCTGACTCTTAGTAAGCATGTAACTCTGCAGCAAAGATGTGCAGATTTCCTAGAGGAGAGCCTGGTAGCCACAGATGCTCATTGTGTAGGCGGCATTACTCAGTATCTTTTAGAGCCAATTCAGTGGAGATTGGTAAGAGAGCAGATATTTCAATAAAAAATGTACTTGTTTTGCACTGATATTTCTGCTAAGTCTTAACCTGTGTTCAAAGCTAGGCATTCTTTTTTTTTTTAAGATTTTATTTATTTATTTGAGAATGAGTGAGAGAGAGCAGGAGCAGAGGGCGAAGCAGAGGCAGAGGGCATGAGGAGGGGCAGAGGGAGAAGCAGACTCCCTGCCGAGCAGGGAGCCTGACGTGGAGCTCGATCCCAGGACCCTGGGATCATGACTTGAGCTGAAGGCAGACACTTAACCGACTGAGCCACCCAGGCGTCCCTTCGCCGCTTGAAATGATAACTTTTATTTTGAATCTTGTTATAAAAATTAGGGGTTTTTCTATAAATAGTCTTTTATATTTCCTCATTTCTTTGACATAGTTGATTATAAACTATAACATCATTTCAATTGATAGCTCTTGGGGAGATAATAAATGAAGGCTGTGTTACAAGTGCATATCAGTTTTAAAGATGCAGCTCAACTTTATTGAAATAAAACTGTATATACAAGGCATAGAAACTTAATGGCTTTTCTGTAAATGTGGTAACTGTTTTTTCTTATTTTTAGTGGCTTCTCTGTTTTTCAGCCTCACAGTCTCCTCACTTACATGTCTTTGATCTCTTTGTCTCTTTACATCTCTTATACCTCTGCCCCTCTGAAACTGTTTCTTTCAAATCATACCAGCTTCTCAGTATTAGAAGTTTGTTATTACTATCAGCTAGAATGTAACAACTGAAATGTCTAGACATCCCTGCAAAATGCTCCTGTTATTTTGGAACTATGTCAGTATTGGTAGGATTTTATTACATATTGCAGTTAACTATATTTAGACAGGATTCCTTTAGAATTAGCAAAATATTTTTTGCCACCTACCTACCAATTTTGCTGTACTTTGTAAACATAAGACAAACTAATTTTTTATGTTAAAAAATATCAGTGAAATTTAGATTTGAATAGATTATGATGCTTGTAAAGTGCCGTTACTTCCGTTATTAAAGGATAGAAGCTTCCAGATTGAGTTAACATAAAAATCCTGCTCTACTGTTTAAGGCAAGTGATAAAAATATCGGAAAAAACAAAGATATATGCCAGATTGATGACAGATGCAAGGAATAGCGCCTAACACTAGATGAAATGGAATTCAGGGGGGTCGAGGAGTGGTTCGATGAGATAAGAATTTTAATTGATATTGATAGAATCTAATACCCTTTAAGTGGATTTGATGACCATGAATCTTTTTGTACCATGCATTTAGCATTGAAATGTTCATAGCAAAAGCTGTTAAGTAAGGCTCTAAAGAATTTGAATAACACAGTATGATTTTATAGCTACACATACAAGTACAAAGAATACATTTTTCTATATGGATGCTAATGGAATATTAATAGAATTATGATGTAATAGTTCATAGAGAAAATCTAAAAAATTCCAAAAAGTAGAAATGATAGATCTTCTGACTTCAAATCAATAGAACCATAAAACTGTTGGATTAAAGAGGAAATCAGAATGGAAATCACAGATTATATAGAAATGTGGAAAGATGAGAACAATTCATATCAAACTCTACGGGATATAGACAGGTATTATGCAGAGACAGGTATTATGCAGAAGCAAGCGTATTTATGAGACATTAACAGATACTAGAAATAAATGAACTCAGTATTCATTTCAAGAAGGTAGGAAAGGAACTAAGTTGATGAATGAAGAAATTTTGAGGTAGGATAAATAAAACCAACTAGTTCTTCGAAAAAGCCAATGAAATTGATCAACTTCTGGCAAGTCTGGTCAAGGAAAAAAAAACATAAAATTTAGGACAATATTAATCATTTTAAATAACATTCAGAGGATAGTTTTAATAGTAGCTTTATTCTAATTAATTTGAAAAATATCCTAATTAATAGGGACGCCTGGGTGGCTCAGTTGGTTAGGCATCTTCCTTCGGCTCAGGTCATGATCCCAGGGCCCTTGCTCAGCAGGGAGCCCGCTTCTCCCTCTGCCTGCCGCCCCCCTTGCTTGAGCTCTCTCTCTCACTCATTCTCTGACAAATAAATAAATAAAATCTTTAAAATATGTATATCCTAATTAATAACTAGTATTTATTGAAACGTAGAGTGGGCCAGGCAACAGTTCTAAATGCTTTGTATGTATTTATTCATAATCTTCACCACAGTTTTATTAAGTAGATACTATCATGTTCCCCATTTTACAGATGAAGGAATTAAAACCTGGAGAGTAATCTTCCAAGAACACACAGCTAGGGAAGTGGCTGAGGCAGGGGGGAGGAGTTAAGATGGTGGAGGAGTAGGGGGACCGTAAGCTTGCTTCGTCCCTCAATCACAGCTAGATAAATATCAAATCGTTCTGAACACCCAAGAAATCAATCTGACTGAGAGAATAAAACTGCAAGCCTGCAAGGAAGTGGCTGAGGTAGGATGTAGGTAGGCCCTGACAGTCTCGACTCCGAAGCACTGCCACACCTCCCTGACTCTCAAACAGGTAGTAATTGTCTTAGGGAGAATATTGGTTAGACTAAAAGCTGGAGAAGTCAAAGGTAATCAGAGATCTAACCAGAGAAGCACCAGGCCCAGAGGTTCTTTGAGTTCTCTCATACTTGTAAAAGCTTGAATTTTTATATTATGTGAACTGTTGCAGAGTAGAAAAAATAAAATCTGCAGGTTCACTTTATAGGCTCACACAATTACTAGATCTGGACGTGAACTGCAGAAAAACCTGTAGTCTAGTCTCATCTCATTAAATAAAATGACAGCAAACCAAATAAAGCATTATATTAAGAGAATATACCAGAGGACCTTTTTACCCCCAGGAATATAAGGATGGTTTAATATTAGGAATTTATTAGTGTGTTATTTGAGTCAGGGAATAAATCTTTTCCTAGATAAAAAAAGGTCATTAAACAAAATTCAGCATTTATTTTTTGATGAAAGTCTTAATCTAGAAAAAAGAAACTTTATTAGTTTGAGAAAAACTATCAGGAGAAACAGAAACACATTAAATTAAAAAACATACCACTGGATTACTTTACCTTACGTTCAGGAATAAGATAAGTATGCCCACACTTGCCTCTGGTATTCAGTATTGCTTTGAAAGGCTTAACCAGTGGGATTAAAAAAGGTAGAGAGGTTAGGAATAAGTCAGTTATTATTCACAGATGTTAGGATTGCCCATCCAGAAAATACAAACCACAAACTAAAAACTATATTAGACTTACAATAGAATATCATTATTTGCATATCTGAATATTAAAAATATTCAAATTATGAGTTCTAATTTTTTTAAATGATACTTTTTTTTTTTTTTAAGATTTTTATTTTAGAGCACGCAAGAGAGAGAGAACGCGAGCAGGGAGTGGGGCAGAGGAGCAGAGCGGGAAGGAAAGGGAGGAGGGGAAAGAATCTCAAGCCCACTCCACGCTGAGCACAGAGCCTGACCTGGGGCTCTATCTGAGATCATGACCTGAGTCGAAATCAAGAGTCGGATGCTTAACCAACTGAGCCACCCAGGTGCCCCTTAAGTAATACTGTCATAAAAACATGCCACAGTATAGGTAAAGGGCAAAATGCTAATTGTGCAGAATG